AAAAAAAAAAAAAAAAAAATTGTGGTACAATTGCAATTAGAAATGAATTCTTTTTTCTGTTGTTTGAAAAAAAAATGACATAAAAATTAGGCAAATTATTGAAAAGTGAATGAGAAGTAAAAAACTTTTTTTTATATAATCTTATCGGTTATCCCATTTAAATAACTGCAGTAAAATTATTTTTTTCTTTTTGGTTTATTAGTGTTTTTGAATAAGCAAAAAATTATAGCTGACAATTTAAAGTAATTTGCTAAATTAATATCTTTTCATTTTCAGTGTTTTTTCGCTATTCTTTTTTTTACAGTATCATTATTACCGTAATCGTTTATTTAAATTTCTTCTGTTTTTTTCTTTTTTTTGATAAATTTTTTGAACAGTTCAACAATATTATATTGTCAACAAAAAAAAATATAACTGAAGATGCATTTCAGTTTGTTATATTAATTGAAAAACAATAACTTTATTGGAGTGAAGTATTTGTTAGCCTTTTTTGTTTTCTTCCGCTTTTTTCACTAAACTTATCTTCAATATTTTTATATTTTAAAAGTAAACAATTAACTGTATATAAAATAGTTTTAGTTATTTATTTTTTTTATTTATCATCTTTTAGATAGCATTATTGATAATTTCTATAAATATTTTTCCACCACTTCAATTGCCTTCAATTGAGATGACAAATAATTGAAATGATTGGTGTTGTTGTTGGTCAAAATTTTATTGAAATAAAATTGTAACGATAACGTTGATGAAGTTTCTGATGACAAAATTGGTAATCAGCAAAAAGAAGGCAAATTTTTCAATGACCTCATTCTGTTGTTATTAATCATGTTTTTTTTTCAACAACTTTTTTTATTGAATAATTTGAACTGCGGTTCTTTCTTTTTTTTTGAAACTGAGAAAAAAAAAGCAAATTTTATAGCGCTTTTTTTTTTCAAATGAATAATTTTTGTCTATTTTCTTTTTTCAATAATAACAAACAAAAAAAAAAACTAATTTTTTTTTCTTTCTAGAAATAAATATTATTTATAACAAAGCAATAAC